GATGCTTGGCCTGCTGTGTTCGTCCAGCCCTGCACCTTGTTGTCTCGGATTCTCCAGCATCTGCAGTTCCTACTATCTCTGTTCTTTGAGACTGTCATGTGCACCTTGATGCTATGATACTTTGGAAATAGAACCAAGGGTATGACTTGCTGAGTCCTAACTATTGCAAATAAAGACAAATAACCAAATAAATGTCTGTTATATCTAATTTTCCAGTAGTTTTTCTGTAGTGTTTTCTAATTTTATTAATACTTTAGCTGTTGAAAATAAATTTCAACTGATACTTTTAATCCAACATCTTTCAATTTGGCGACTTAATGATCCCAGTAAAGGTTCATCCAACCTTTTTGTTGCTGCAGTATGGTCCATTTGGATTTTTCTTATGCTAGCAAGAATTTTACCAATATTTAGATAATAACCTGTACCCCACCAAACTACACCATAGCCATTGGTGCACTTCATATTCTTCTGTAGTCTTGCCCAGTACTTTGCAAGTGGGCAAAGATAAATGGGTTTAATGTTTAATTCGAAATGTAATGCAGCACTCCCTTGGTCTTGCACTTAAGTGTCAAGGCTATATGCTCAAGATTCTTGAGGGGGATTTTAACTCTTGTCTGATTCAGAGGCGAGAATACTATCATTGAGCTAAAGCCAATGAAGTATAATTACCAAGACTGTAATCGGCTGTGATTGAATGGCAGAAAAGACTCAATAGGTCAACTGGGGCAAATCTGCTCCTATGTCATATAGCAGGGTGTATTGTTCAAGAGATCTGGGGGCACAGCATAGTGCCGGCCATAGTAATCTTAGATAACTCCAAACCTGTCTTTCTTCCGTCTGGGTCAATGTCTTGGCTAGCTCACGTTTCAATGGCTTGAGGTCGCTGAACTGTAGCATCTGTCCATTCGGTACCTCTGGCTCTCCAATAGCATTGTAATAAGATCCAATCTCCAAGTCAATCAGATTTTCCGTGTTCAGAGTCAAGCAAAATACAATAAACACAAACTATTTGATGCAGAATATGCCACAACCAGTAATGATAGCCTGTTTGACATTTTTATGCTAAATATTTTCTGTTCTTTACAAAGGAAAATGGATGCCAGACAGAACCACCTCCTAGAGCAAGTTTCTCTTCCACAGCAAATCAGGTGATATATGCACGTATGTTATTACCTAATTGCTCAATGACAAGCAAATTATGTGCAAATGCTTATGAGCATCACAGGAAGAAAACATTGGACAGCATTACTATCTAGAAAATGATGTCTGCTGTTAAATGTGTAGACCATTTCATTGCACAAATACATGATATATTGCTTAAAAAAGGGACACATTTTGTTAAGCTTTTCTTCTTACACTCATCAGAACAATTGACAAGAATACTAATTCATGGAATCAACATTTATACTGCATGAGAGGGCAGTGCTGATTGGCTGGGAAATCAACTTTGATTGGTCGAGGATTGAAGTGGAGAATGCATTCATTAAGGAAATCAGATCCTGGGGACTTAGCAGCCATTAGCCCCATTAGTTTTCACAATATACTTTCTCTCATGATCATGATTGCGCACCTGTGTTTTCTTTTACTTGTATGTTCTGGTAGCCACAATATTTATATTGCTGGTCTTGTTCAGGCTCAGTTTGACAGGTATGTACTGCTGGACTCAGCCATCTCAATATATAATGTTACTGAGCCCTCTAAGTGATGGCTATTTTAGTTCCCAAACCAAATAACAATATAAAATCTGACAATATGATCTATAGTTCTAAGGTACACTACAATGCTAACATGCCTAATCAACTTGGGCAAATTGCTGGACTGACGTTGACAGATGGATTGAGTGATAGGGCAAAAATTTGGCAAATGGAGTATATGGGGAGAAAATGTGATGTTTATTTTGGCAGAAAGAATGATAAAGCAGAATATTACTTAACTGGAGAATGATTGTGGATATCTGATGTATTGAAGGATTTATATGTTCGAGTGCATTCTTCTAATGTTCTGTTGTGGAACATAGGTGTTGTTAGCTGTCAGCATTTATTGCCCATTCCTATTTGCTCTCAACCAGGTGGTGGTGAGCTACAGTCCATGTGCTATAGGTAGGCCCACAATGCCATTAGGGAGGGAATTCCAGAATTTTTACCCAGCGACAGCGAAAGAATGGTAATACATTCCCAGGTCGGGAAGATGAGTGGCTTGGAGAGGAACTTGCAGGTGGCTGTGTTCCCATACATCAGCTGCCCTTCTTCTTCTGGATGGAAGTGATGACAAGTTTGGAAAGTGCTGTCTAAGGATCTTTGGTGAATTTCTGTGGTGTGTCTTTTAGATAGTATGCATTGCTGCTACTGAGTGTGGATGGTGGAGGGAGTGAATTCTTGTGGATGTAAAGCAGGCTGCTTTGTCCTGGATGGTGTCAAGCTTCTTGAGTGTTGTTGGACCTGCACCCATCCAGACAAGTGGGGAATATTCCAAAATATTTCTGACTTGAGCCTTCTAGATTTGTAGATGATGGACAGGCTTTGAAAAGTTAGGAGGTGGCAGCATGGGACACAAAATATCAGTATGCAGGTACAGCACAAAATCAAGAAGACCAATAGGATGCTATCTTTTCTGACAAGAGGAATTGAATATAGAAGTCAGGATATTATTCATCAGTTATACAGGACGTTGGTGACATTCGTGAGGACATTTCTCCCCGTATACTCTGATGTTGCGGTCTCTTTATTTAAAGAAGGATATAAATGAATTGGAGGTGGTTCAAAGAAGATTGACAGCTGAAATCAGTGGATTGTCTTATGGGGATTGTTTGGACAGGCTGGGCTTGTTTCCGCTGGAGTTTAGAAGAGTGAGGATAACTTGATTGAGGTGTATATGATCGTGAATGGTCTTGACAAGGTGGATATGGGAAGAATTTTTTCTGTTGTGGGTCAGTCCGGAATTAAGGGATACTGTTCTAAAATTAGGGGTTCCCATTTTAGGACATAGATGAAAATGTTTCTCAGAGGGCTGTGAAACTTTGGAACTCTCTGCCTCAGGTGCTGGTGCAAGTGGGATCACTAAACATTATTAAGGTTGAGGTAGATTAGTTTTTGGCAAAGGAATCAAAGATTATTGTGTGTAGATGGGATTGTAGAATTTGAAACAAACAGATCACTGTGATCTTACTGACTGATGGAAGAGTCTTGAGGGGCTAAGTGTTCTATTTCTGCTTTTCTGTGTTCTTGTCACCAGATATTGCTAGATATAGTACTTGGAAATTAATGATTTTCCATCTTAGTCATAATTCATTTCAAACCATATTTTTCAATGTTGTCCTGTTCAGTAACTATCTTTTGGTGGATGACAGACCTGACTTGTTAAATATTTTATACCTTTTAAGCTCCACTCTTGTGGAATGCCTGCTGTCAGCCATATTTCTGAGGTGCCAAAGATGTTAACATTCTTAATAATTGCTTTATATCTTATTATTTTCAGTGGGAAATATTTGATGCCTATGAGGAAGTATTAGCAAAACAAGCTGTGAAGAAAGAGAAGCCAAAGCCACATACTACAAAAAAAGATGATGTATCAAAGAAAAAAATTTCATCTATTGAAAGCATGGTAAGTGTTCTTCATACCTAATCCTTTGCCTTCTTCATGTTCATAAGATGTGTTCTTGCATATTTAGGTTTATTTTTTTTCCGGCATAGTACTGCTGAAAGTGGGAACTGATAATGATGCAACTGGACCATCAGGGCACCTCAAACCTAAGTAAAGAACTGGGCAAACAATTTATCTGCTGAACCAATCTATTGACTCTCTCCTACCATAAAGGCAAACTAATTTTGTGACTCCAGTGGAAATGGAATAAATAGCCATGAGATATGTCTAGTACTTTAAAGATGCAATGTTCAGGTGACAATCCATTAAAAAATAGTTTAGTACTCTCTTGGTGTCACCCCAATGAGGTGATATAATCTATGGATAAGTGGTATGAACTATCTGGTTTCCTTCCCAGCCACAATAGTGAATATGTGATGGCTTGTGTTCTTTCATTCTATTCCTCATTCTTTTCATTTCTTCACAATCCCAACCACTGCTTCCTGTGCTTCCCTTCTAATAGGTACCGTTTACGCTCTGTTTTAGAGATACAGAAGGGTTACCTACAGAAACATTTGCAGTGGAAACTTTACTGTTTATATTTTGCCCAACACACCACTAACTTGTTGATACAAGATTCTGGAGCGTCAATTCTGTTCTCATGGGTCTTCATTAACAGGCGTTAAGGTGGCCACTGTGGCCCTTTTATTCTTGTGTTCTTTTTACAGGTCTGTAACATAATCTCTACGCCCCTTACAGTCTATGGTGGTTCTTAATTCCCCGAAAAGGCCTATTCCCAAAATGGTGCCTTCCAAATTATTACATGCTCATAAATGGACAGGGCTGATTACTAAGCAGCTTCCAGAAGTATTGGTTCACTCTTTTTAGCTTAATGTTGTGTGTGTCTCCCCCTCAACCCCACCAAGGCACTACAGAAGTTTGTGAGGTGGCCTGTAGGTCACAATCCATTATTGAGATTGATGCCGCATCTGACACCGATTCCCCCTCCAGGTTTGCTTGTATAAATAGGTGGGTATCGAGCTCTTTACTGGTCATAGAGTCATACAGCATGGAATTAAACTCTTGAGTCCAACTTGTCCACACCAACCAGTTATCATAAACTGATCTAGTCCCATTTGACAGCATTTGGTCCATATCCCTCTGAACTCTTCCTGTTTATGTACCCATCCAGATACCTTTTAAATGGTGTAATTGTACCCACCTGCACCACCTCCTCTGGCAGCTCATTCCATGCATGCACCACTCTCTGTGTGAAAAGTTGCTCCTCGGGTCCCTTTTAAATCTTCCCCCTCTTACCTTAAGATTATGCTGTCGAATTTTGGACTCCCCTACTCTGGGAAAAAGACCTTGGCTATTCACCCTATCCATGCCCCTCATGATTTTATAAACCTCAAAAGGTCACCCCTCAGCCTCCAATGCTGCAGGGAAAAATGTTCCACCCTATTCAGCCTCTCCCTATAAACAGAAAAGCTCTAATCCCCGCAATATCCTTGTAAATCCTTTTTGGTCCCTTTCAAGTTAGTGGTAGAAATTCAAATTTTAAAGTGATATGCATGACTAAATCCCAACCAGATAGATGGTAGTCTCAGCAGAACAGTAATGTAAACAGCCTCTAAATTATTTCAAAATAATACTTTCTCCTAAAAGGAAAAGACATGGTAAGATCATGTTCTTCATGTACTCTGTCAGATCTAGTATATTGCCTCAAAACAGAAGGTACCTCAAAGATAAGTTTCAGTCAACTGCTGAGCAATCTCTTCATAACGACCTCCTGGAACCAAGAGCAAATGCTGTCTCTCCTTCCTGTCCACTGATCAAAGTGAGCAGAAACATCAGTTTTTTCAAAGCATAAACAATATAAAAAAAAGTCACTCCATAGAATTGATACAAGAAAAATGGTCAGTCTCCAACAAATCAGTATTCAGAATAAACCACATGTACTGCATTATATGACTGCTCAAAAATAGCTTGTATAATCAGTTGTTGTGGAGACAACAAGGTGCAGGGCTGGATGAACACAGCAGGCCAAGCAGCATCATAGGAGCAGATAATTTCAGTTGTTCACTAAACTGTGCTGCAACAGAAAGAACACACCTGAAATAGGTTATCATCTTTGTCACTCTTAGCACACTTTGTACCCCCAGAACTTTCTACGTTCTTCTGCTTTTTTATTGGTTTATAATTAATAATTCTATAATTAACTATTGGACATGTTGTTTTGTTAGTCCAGTATCTAGGCCTGTCCTTCTGCTGTCTCCCTGTCTTTCATTACCTCCGCTCCTCACCCAGCAGTCTGTTTTATGGTGCCCTAATTTCTGACAGTTAGTGTGCTGCGTTCCTTGTCTGCCTTCTTGTCCTTTCTTGAGTCTTGCATGCCTAAACTCAATCTTATCTACATAGTCCTAAATGCACGTACACATTAAGACCATATCAAATAGCAGCAAGGTAGACTGTCTGGTGCCTCAAAACTACTCCAAATTCAATAACATCATGGCTGATATGGTTGCATTCAACTTCCACATTCCCGTCTACCCACAATACCCTTGATACCCTGTCTAACAAAAATCTTTTACTTCTGTTTTCAAAATATTCAATGACGCTGTCTCTACCGATTCTGAGGCAGAGAGTTCCAAATTTTCTCCGAGAGGAAAGAACTTTCTCCTCACATCTGTCCTGAAAGGGTGACCACTAATTTTAAAGAAAGTGCCCCCTGGTTTTGATCTGACCCTTATTCTCTCTAATTTTTTTTAATGTAACCTATTTTTCAAATCAGCCTATTCAGAGATGTTATTACACACTTCTAGAGCAGGTGGGACTTGAACCCCGGCCTTCTAGTTCAGGAGTAGGGGCACTACCACTGTACAACAAGAGGGATCCAGATATTTCAGCCCTAAAGGGGAAATCAAAGTGTTTGAATGATAAGCTGCAAACATAATCCGTCATCTTTCTACATCCACTTTATCAACACCATTCAGAATCAATTGTGTTTCAATTATGTTGCCCCTCACTCTTCTAAACTCCAGTGAAAACCAGCCCAGTCTGTCCGACCAATTGTTATAATGCAAACCATTTATTCCCATTATCAATCTAGTAAATCTTCTCTGAACGGCCTACAATGCATTTACATTCTCCCCTGAATAAGGTGATCAAAATTGTGCATGGAATTCAAGATTTGGTCTACTAATCTTTTATGGTTTGCCACTTATCAGTCCAAACCTGAATATTGTCCAGGTCTTGTTGCATATGGGCATGGAGTCCTTCAGTATCTGAGATATCACAAATAGTACTGTGTAATTATTCATAATTGTGTTGAATAATTGCTTAACACATTCCTTTTGATAAATATTTGTTTCTGTATTAGTTTTATTAAAATTTATTTGTTCCAGAGTGATGATATTTCAAGAGTTGGTAAAGTTGCCAAAATAGTGGAACGGATGGTGAACCAGAACTCTTTTGATGACATTCTGCAAGGTAACCTAGAAATTTTAAAATTGAAAACAAACAAGTTAAGAATAAAGTATACACCTATCAATCCTAAACATGCATCTCATTCAAAGGAAATTGAGTGGAGATTTGATTAAGGATTAAGGGAAAGGTGTTACCCCAGACTGATTCAGCAAGGACTTGGGGACATAGATTTAAGGTATTGGTAATGGGTGCAGGGAGATGTGAGGAAGAGCTTTATTCATGCAGCGAGAGGTAATAATCTGAAACTCATTCCCTGTGAGATTGCCGAACCCAAAAATGTCAATGATTTGAAAAGCAAACTAAATGAGGTAATCCAGCTCAACGGACACCAGAGTTTAAATAACAGACAAGAAAACACAACAGCGCTTCATCGGAGGCTGCACTGATAATGTTACCGAGCAGGGTAATGAAACGTCTGTGGAACAACCAACCAGCTCGGCGAGCCAACCAACCGCACCTGAATGGAACTTCGGGTGAACAAACCTGCAGGATGTTGGAGGTACAAGAGAGGAATGGGACTAACTGTGTTACTCTACAGAGAGCTAGCATGGATTCAGTGAGTCAACTAGTCTCCTTCTGTGTCATGATGAATCTCTGAATCAAAGTTGAGACATACATTTTTAGACTGATTTGCTATTTTACATCCTGATATTTAACTGATGACAGGGACATGGTAGCATTTTGGTAATGTTATTGGAGTAGAAATCCAGAACCCCCAAGCTAATGGTGTGGGGACATGGGTTTGCATCCTACCATAGTACGTGGTGACATTTAAATTCCATAAAATTCCAAAATAAAAGTCTAGTCTAATGGTGACCATGCAGCCACTGTCAATTGTCTTAAGATGTTTACTAACATTCTTTAGGAAAGGAAATCTGTCAGCTTTACCTGGCCAAACGTACTTGTGACTTCAGACTCACAGCAGCATTGTTGATTCTTAACTGTCCTTTAGACAATTAGCGATGGACAATAAATGCTGGCCCAGCCAGTGATGCCCACTTGCCGTGAATGAATAAAGTACAACTACCATGTGAATGAGTATTTGTGCCAGGGTTTTCAACCCTTCACACAAAGTAAAGGAAAGCTTCTCATTTCACTGCTATGACTCATAGGCACCATACGGGGTGTGGTCGCAGACAGGTATGACAAGTGTGAGTATTTTGAGCAGAGTTCCCACTTCTACATACCCTTTGTCCCTTTCCTCTCCCTGACCAATCCATATTCCTTGGTTAGCCATGATCAGGAGAGCTGCTTTAGTGTTCAGTGAGGAACTGAAGGGCCAAGGTGAGTCTTTCTTCATTTCATTTGATGTGTGTGTTCCAGCCATTGCTTGTTTCATGAAGGTTGCCACTTTATCCATGGAGGTAAACATCAGCACAGGTGCCTGAGCTTTTCTAACTATGTCAATTCATTCTCATGTATATTTTACTTGTATGACCATCATTTGAAATTATACAAGGAAATTGACAAGGAAACAAGTGTCAAAAGGAATTTGTACTATCAATCTATGAACTCCTATGGAAAGGAAAGCAGACACAATGAAAAGTTGACCAACATTTCACCACAAGATAATGTTCCGTTATTGACATAAACCAATTTCAACCCTGACAATCAATCCATGTCTCTACTGAAAAACAAATGAAATTTCTTTTATTTGTTTAAGTTCAGTTGCCAAATTTTGAATTTTCCATATGTAAGCTAGTAATTCTGTATGTTTTGTAAGACAATATTATCTTCCCAGCATTTTTTAAGTACGGTATTAATTCACTGTTCAACTTTTATTTTCTTTATGTAGACTTTAAGTATTTTGAAGATCCTTCTGATGAATTCCGGGATCAAGAAGGCACTCTTCTACCTCTGTGGAAATACTTTTATGAGAAAGCTAAAAGATTGGCAATTACTAGCATGTGTTGGTGAGTATTATAAAATGTAAGATACAATATAAATTCAACAAAAGGCAGTGAAAGAAAAAAGAATTGCATTTAGGTCATATATTTGTCACTTCTCTTAAAACCTTCCCTTTTTCATACCCAGGGAACACAAACTTTAAGTAAGGTCAATAATTAGTAGTTTTCATCTATTAGCCAGACCACAAGGGAAACTCTCCACTGTTCTTCAAATAATAAAACTTAACTTTTAAAATCCACCCAGCCAAATAGGCAAAATATGTTTTAGTTTTATGTCTCATCCAAAACAGGATACCTCTGACAATGCTCAACAGGTCTGGCAGCATCTGTGAAGAAAAAATCAGAGTTGACATTTCGGGTTGGTGACCCTTCTTCGGAACTGTTCTGGCAGCATCTGTGAAGAGAAATCAAAGTTAACGTTTCGGGTTCTCAGAACTGAATAGCTGGAATAATTTTGGTGTAAAAAGTACAAGGGTGCGGAATTCTTCAAACATATTCAGGCTTACACTTTTAGGAAACACATAAATCCAGCAAGACGAATGGATAATGGAATTTCAGTTCAAGAAAATGGAATTCCATTCGGATATACATGAGGTGATGTACTCGGACAGGGCAGAGAAGGCAAGGAAGTACACGATGAATGTTAGACCCTGGGAAACACTGAAAATCAGAGGCACCTAAATGTGCCTCTCTACTGATTCCTTAAGTTAGTGGAACATGTAGATCATGTGGTGAAGGCATATGGGACACTTGCCTTTCTTAGCTAAAGCAAAGAGTTAAAGATCAGGGAGGTTATGTGGGAACTGCATAAAAAAGCTGTTTAGGCTACACCGAGAGAGAGTATTGTTTGCAATTCTAGAATCCCAGAAACTGTAGGCCACTCGCTTGTTAGGTAGAGGTGACTAGTAGGGGTTTAACCTAAGCATCACCATAACTTAGGCAAGGGGACAGATTGAGAAGCAGGGGCCGTCATGGTAACCTTAGCCATGGTAACCTGTTGGCATCACTCTGCATTGTAAACCAGCCTGTCCAGCCAACTGAGCTACCAAACCTCAAATGCATGTTATATGGAGGATACGATTACACTGGAGAGGATACTGAGGAAATTTACTAGGATGTTCCCTGGGCTGGACAGTTTTAGTCGTGAAGATAGACTGTGAATATTTTCCTTGCGGTAGAGGAGACTGAAGAAGACATGATTGAGATGTATAAAATTATGAAGTATATTGATAGGATAGACAGGAAGAAGTTTTCACCTTGGTGGAGGGATCAGTTTAAAGTCAGGGGCTTAGAGGGGATGTGAGGAAATTTTCTTTCACCAAAAGGGTGATGGGAATCTGGAATTTACTGCTTGTAGGGATGGTAGAGGCAGAAACCCTCATAACATTTAAGAAGCATTTAGATGTATACTTGCAATGCTAAGACATACAAAGCTATAGGCCATATGCTGAAAATAGATTTAGAATAGTTAGCTGGTTGTTTTTGACCAGCATAGGATTGATAGGCCAAAATGCCTTTTTTTCTGTACTGTAGACATCCATGGCTCTACAATTCTAAGAGGAGGCACTTATGATCTTAGTTTTAGAGAATTAATCCAGACAGGTGGTAGAATTATAAATTATGGTTACAGTTCAAATAGATACAGTGTACTTATAGAAAGGGATAGAGGTAGTCCAGAAGTTTACTTTTAAATTGCGAAAAGACCAATTTCACTAAACTGAGAAGTGATTTGACAAAAGTTGTTTGGAAACACCAACTTGAAGAGCAGGCAACTTGGGGGAGGCGATAGCCTAGTGGTATTATCGCTGGACTGTTAATCCAGAGACCCAGATAATGTTCTGGGGACCTGGGTTCAAATCCCACCACAGCAGATGGTGGAATTTGAATTCAATAAAAACATCTGGAATTAAGATCTGGAATCCATTGCTGATTGTTGGGAAAAACCCCTCTGGTTCACTAATGTCCTTTAATGAAGGAAACTGCCATTCTTACCTAGTCTGGCCTACATGTGACTCCAGGCCCACAGTAATGTGGTTGACTCTTAACTGCTTTCTGGGCAATTAGGGATGGGTAATAAATGCTGCCTAGCTAGCAATGCCCTCATCCCATTAAAGAATAAAGGGAAAAAAAACTTGAAGAAAGATCAATGTCAGAGCAAGGAGGAGTTAAAAAGTACATATTTTGAGAGTGGGGCTCGGCTGCTCATTGGCTCATGCAGCAGAGTCAGCATCCACACGACTTCATCATTGCCTTTACAGCTCGGTCACATTTCTCCACCTTTTAGTTGCCTTGAGGCTGCCTGTTGATGTCCTCCTGCAAGAGGCCGGGCCCCACGCATCTCCAGGTAGTGAACAATAGAACATAGAATGGTACTGCACAGTAACAGGCCCTTCAGCCCACCATGTCTATGCTGACCATGATGCCAGTCTAAAATAATCCCATCTGCCTCCACATGGTCTATATCCTTTTATTCTCTGCCTTTTCATGTGTCTGTCTAAATGCCTTTTAAATGGTGTGGTACCTGGTTTTACCATCTCTTCTGGTAGTGTTTTCAAGGCACCAGAGAGTTGTGGTGAAGACACAATGTTGATTTGAGGAAGCAGTTATAACAATTAGGAGGGATGGTATCTTGGAAGTATCATCAAATGAGGCCATATGGGTAGAAGTAATAAATAAAAAGGGGCAAACACACTGTTGGGTGTGCACTATCGGCCCTGAATTGGTCTGGTAGAATAGAAGATCAAATATGCATCAAATTTCAGAGAAATATAAGAATACTAAGGCAGAAAGTGTAGATGATTTTAACTACACAAATATTATCTGAGACAGTTTTAGTATGGAAAGTCAGAAGGGAACAAAGTTCTTAAATTGCATCCAGGAGAACCTTTTTTCAGTAGTAAGAAAGCCCAAGAAGAGGGGAGGCAATTCTGGACGTAATATTGAGAAATGACCCCATGTAAATGGAAGCATAACAGTTGGGGAGTATTTTGGAAATCGTTACCTTATCTCAGAGATAGTGGGAACTGCCGATGCTGGAGAATCTGAGATAACAAGGTGTAGAGCTGGATGAACACAGCAGGCCAAGCAGCATCAGCGGAGCAGGAAAGCTGACGTTTTGGGTCTGGACCCTTCTTCAGAAATGGGGGAGGGGAAGGGGATTCTGAAATAAATAGAGAGATGGGGGAGGCAGATGGAAGATGGATAAAGGAGCAGATAGGTGGAGCAGTTTCAGGGCCGAAGAGAAAAGGATAAGGATCAGCCAGAAATAAAAGTAGTAAACAGGAGCAAGGTTAATTTTATTTTGATAGATATGATTTGGCCTAAATGGACTGGAACAGCTACTTGCAGATGAAACTGTGTCAGAGAAATGGGAGACATTCAAGGGGAAAATACCAGGAATTCTGCAGATATGTTCCAATAAGGCAAAGGGATGAACCAAGACTGGAGAACCTGGATGTTAAGGGATATAAAAGTTAGGATTCAATAAAAAGGAGAAGTTGATGGCAGATCCTGAAGGTTCAGAAGTGTATAAAAAGTGCAGGGGGAACTTAAAAAGGAAATTAGGAAAGCAAAGAAAGCATTAGCGGTAGACCGAATGATTATTCAATTAAAAAAGTATAGAGAATAAAAGAATAACTAGGGAAAGAATAAGACCATCAGGGAGTATAGAGGTAGTCTGGGTATGAACCTGGAAAATGTGAGATGAATCCTCAATGAATACTTGTCTCAATCTTTACGATGGAAAGGCCAATGCAAGTGTATACATTAGGCTGGGGAGTTACAAAATATTAGAAGAAATTAACATAGAAAGTATAGAGGAACTAGTGATATTAGCAGCATTAAGAATGGTTAGAGCCATGTGTGCAAACGAGATGTATCCCAGGTTGTTAATGGAGGCAAGAGAGGAAAGAGTGAGTATAGACGTAAACTACAGGAGGATATCAATGGACAAAGTGCAAATGGAACGCAACCTGGAAAAATACGAGGTAAATTCCTGGCCTCTCACCTCCTTGCCCAGCACCATAACACCAGGAAAACTCTATCCTCAATGATAGATGATCATGGAGCAATGTCAGCAGTGGAAATGAACAAGCAGCACTGTAAAATGGGTACCATTCAATTTCTATGACAAATGTGTCATAGAGTCATGGAGTCATACAGCATGGAAACAGACCCTTCAATTCAAGGAGCACACGACAAACATGTTCTCAAACTAAACCAGTCTCACCTGCCTGCGTTTGGCCTATATCCCTCCAAACCTTTCCTATTCATGTACTTGTCCAAATATCTTTTAAATGTTGCAACTGCATCTGCATCCATCACTTGCTCTTGCAGTTCATTCCACACACTAACTGCTCTCTGAGTAAAAAAAGTTACTCCTCGTGTCCCTTTTAAATCTTTCTCCTCTCACCTTAAAAATATGCCCCCCCTCACCGCAGTTTTGAACTCCCCCACTTTAGGGAAAAGACCAATGCTATTTACCTTTTCTATGTCCCTCATAATTTTATAAACCTTTGTAAGGTCGTTCCTCGACCTTCTGTGCTCCAGTGAAAAAAGTCTCAGCCTATCCAGTTTATTTTTATAATTTAACCGCTCCATTCCCACTAACATTCTGGTAAATTTTTTCTGAACTGTCTCTAGTTTAATAATATCCTTCCTTTAATAGGGTGTTTAGAAATGCGTACAGTACTCCAAAAGAGACCTCAGTAACATCCTGGATGACCTCAACATGAAGCCCCAACTCCTATACTCAAAGCTCTGAGCAACGAAGGCAAGTGTGCTAAACACCTTCTTAACCACCCTATCTACCTCTGATGCAGATTTCAAAGAGTCTAGGTCTTACTGTTCTACAACACTACCCAGGGCTCAACCATTAACTGTATAAGTCCTGCCATTGTTTCTTTTAGCAAAATGCAATATCTCACATTTATCCAAATTAAACTCTATCTGCCACTCCTCAACCCATTGATCCATTTGATCAAGATCTCTTTGTAATCTTAGATAACCTTCTTCACTGTCCACTACACCAATTTTGTCCCAAAATACTATATTGCAAAAATGAAGAATTTAGACATCAGATGTCAAGCTGTCATAGTAATGTTCCTGTTGGTGTTTTTGTTTAAATTTAGTGTTTACTCCATGAGAGACTTTAAATAATGCTATTTTAATGTGGCACTTTAATTGTTTTAGCTACTTTGTTAAATGAATTCTGTAGGGCGTAGTGATCAATTTGCATGTACGTTATAATTGTTAATCCTGCTGGGGGCAGATGATGCCACAAAATATTTTGAGCTCTGATTTGCTACATCACACAGTTGGACAATTCAAGTTCATTTTTATTCAATTAAAATACCAATCAAACCTTCTTAGAATTGAAAAGCGTAGGACAAGTAATATCTCAGTTGTAACAATTGCTCTGTGAAGTACAAGTGTTTCTCCAGGAACAGCATTAGCAGAGCACAGAATGGAAGCTATTTTGCAGCAGGATGAGAAGGAAAGCATGAAAAAGAAACAAGCAAAAATCAGGATCAAGTGAAATTAAGGGTGGTAATAAACACTAGCCTGACCAATGATACTGAAATCCCATGGGTAAATAAAAAAAGCAAGCAAACAAGAAAACAATAAGTAATTTGTAATTTTGTTTGTAATTTTCAGGAATCCAAAATATCATGACCTTTTTGCAGTTGGACATGGTTCCTGTAAGTTGAAATTTAAAATGTAGTTTGCTTGATTTGTGAATGTTATATTTTTATTTTACAAATAATTATAATATAACTTTTAATACCATCTTAATTGCACAGATCTAAGAAAGCACTATACCTTTAAGATAGCTCGATGACATCATGACCTGTCTCCACCTTACTCTCTGTACATTTATTTGTACAGTTTGCCTATTGGCAAGCAGACAGCCAAACTGCTAGTCCGTCAGTCAGCTGTGTATGCAATATAATAGTAATATGCAAGTCTGAGCTGGTAGTTGAGTGTTAATAAACTTATAAATGTCTATCTTAAAATGAACCCAACTGTCTGGATATGTAATGTGGGCTTGGTTACATGGGCTAACATATAAAAGACCACAAAGTACATTAAAAACCCTTTGAAAGGAATTTTAATAAAGGTATTTGCTATGATTCTAAACATTCATCCTAATTCTGTGATTTGGATTCAAATGTAGATAAGGGAAAAGTGCCTAGCTGTATTTGGACATGGTTGGAATTTTACAGTTCTCCACTGGTGGATTTGAATATTATGGAAGGGGTCTCATAACATTTAAACATTGTCAACTGGCTACCTACTTAGCCACCTTGAACTGTCTCTTATTTTTCTTATTTTGCAGACAACACTTTTGAAGTTTGCTGTTGAATTTTCTTCTATCACCCTATCAAAAAGTATATTCTAGATCATAACAAGTCATCTCAAGTTCTTTTGCCAATTACCTTACATCTGAGTTCTCTGGATATCAAAACTTGTGCTACAATGAACAGTTTTTCCTTGTTTACTGTGTACCTGTACTATGTAATCACTGTAGGGCAGCCTTTTTACAAATTTGTCTAGTTTGCTACCAACTTTTCCAGTGGATGGCAAACAATACCTTCGCAACACCTCTGCAAAATCCAGCTCCATTGATAAGCTGCTTTGTGTTATTAGCAAACTTAATATTACAACTTTCAAATTTTAATTGTGTTTTACAAATATTTTGAGCAAATAAAGTTTCTGATAAAGTGTTTTGGAAGTCAAAGTGACATCTACTTAAATACTGAAAATAAAAATAAAAAAGAGAAAAGGCCACAAAAAGTTTGATATGACAATCATTACATTTCCACAGATGTTGGAAGAATTTTACAGTTGTTACAGCCAGCATAATTATAAGCTGGAGTTTGGGACACTTAAGTAGGACAGGTGGCTATCTCACAGGTTGCCTGCTTACTCCAAAATTGTCCTCTATAATGCAGTAAGCAAGTACGATATCAATCAGCTCTTCCACTCTTAGGCATATTGAGGGTCTTAAATGGCCAAGTAGTGACCAGTTAAGGACTTGTTTGTGTCCCATCTGCATTAATATAGTGGGCAAAAGAAAGTGAAACTGAGGAGGCAACTTCTATTTTCATCAATCCGGATGAAAATTTGGGAAGGATCCTTCTGAGGATGCTGTTTAACCCCTAACTGGACAACTCAGCTTTCAGCCAATCTGATTGGCTGGCCAAACTTTAAGATACAGCTACCTTTCCCTTAAGGGCACATATCTAAGAATTACCTTGTTAAGATTGTGAATAGCCTATTATCGCTACAGGCTGCTTTTGTTAAAGTCACTCAACTGAAAAACAACGTTCTGCCAAAGGAACAAGCAATGTAGGGCCCCATCACCACCAGCCCGCTGTCTTTTCGAGCCATTTGTCTTTGTTTTTCCACATTTACAGAAACTGTAGATTTTTTTTTGTTTCTACTCAATTAGTCTTGCTCACTGCCTTACCTAACACCTTCAGAATACCTTATAGTTTCAAGATGATCTGTTGTTCTAAAACCATACTGACTCTTTCATAGAATCCATAGAATCAATTCATTCATTTTCCAACTAATGATGGTAAGTTGGCCAACTTGTAAATACCAGGCTTGTGCCTGATTTGTTACTGGAATATTAGAAGGACAATCATGTGTTTTTTGTGGGGAAGCTACAGTCAAAGTCATTGCAGGTTGGAGTAAGAGTGCAATATTGGAACTCAGATTTTAGATGTATTTTCTATAAATATGGCTACATGCTGGCTGCATAAATTCAGAGATTTACCCTTTACATATATTATTCTGTATGGGGATTTGAAAAAATATCAAACAAAGCATTGCAAATTATATTCTTTATTATTTGATAAATAAGGGTGTAGCACATCTCATGAAGTGCCTTGTTGATATTTAAACCAATTCCAATGTAAATATATATTTTGCTAACGTTGATACATATTATGGATCACTAAAAAAGGACTGGAGCAACTTGATATCTACACACCTGTATAGGGATTGAAACAGCTATTAAGTATGCTACATCGGCAGAAAGTCTTAATAAACCAGTTCAGTAGGCTCAAATAGACACCATATTGTGTCACCCACCCCTGACTAAGATACCAGGCAGGGACTGCATTATTCTCTATTTCATAAGACCTGTTTTAAACGAACATTGTAGGGATTATAAGATGGTAGTATGCTTTCAGAGCTGTGCCAGAAACTTTTTTTTTTACTTGGAGTAACGTTTTGGAACAGGATTTTGTTTGATACGTGCATACTCTGGATTGTCCAGAAGGTAATTATAGAAAAGGAATTAAATGACCCCAAAAGCTGTCAACTATCTTCTCTCGTTAGTAGTTCAGATTGTGGCAGCATACTTATTGAATATTATGCAAGTCTTTGGAATAATCAAAAAAGAACAGATTAAATGTGAAAATGAGGTTAATGAAGCTTCAGTGATCAAGGTGCTTGACCGGAAAAGTACAAAGAAATAAGAAGGCATGGTGTAACTCAAATTAACTGCGTAGAAATGTTAGCAAACATAATAGAATAGCATCAATGCGAAACCTTTAAGTATAGAATAGACAGTGCGCATAAAGTTCCCAAGAAGAGAAAAACAGTTCAGTAAAGCATAGATAGTAGGAACTGCAGATGCTGGAGAATCCGAGACAACAAGGTGCAGGGCTGGTGGCCTGCTGTGTTCATCCAGCCCTGCACCTTGTTGTCTCAGTAAAGCATAGAGTGCCTTTGTAATGATCCCAGCCTATGGTAATACTGGACAAGATAGATTCCAGATTGAAACCTGGCTTGATATATCAAATGTTTATTTTTTGCAGTTGGGTTGTGTCGTGGTGAGTCAATGTAACATATTCACACAAGACTGCAGATGTTCTTTAACATAGAACACAAGTTTATTACACAAAAATGTATAGAATTCAATTAGAAAGAGCTTAATACAAACATCAAAGCAAAGCTTCAACCTGTTTCCTAACACCTGGAGAGGCAGTGGCCTCGTGATATTGTCACTAGTCAATTAATGCAGAATCGCAGTTAATGTTCTGGGTTTGAAGCCCGCCACGGCAGATAGTGGAATTTGAATTCAATTTAAAAAGAAATATATCTAGAATTAAGAATTACTGATAACCATGAAACCATTGTTGGAAAAAGACATCTGGATCACTGATGTTTTCAGGGAAGGAAACTGCCATCCTTACCTGGTCTGGCCTAAATGTGACTCCAGACCCACAGCAATGTGGTTGACTCTCAATGACCCTCTGGACAATTAGAGATGGGCAATGCTGATCTAGCTAGTGACACCTACATCCTGTGATGTTTTGTGAAAAAAAAAACCTGTTACACAGAGTCAATCACAGAGAAATGTGACTCCTATCTCACTTTTTAGAATATTTATTTAACTGATGCTTTCCAGATTCTTAGACTATTAATATGATTTTATATAATTCTTTTCTGAGTCCACTGGCATAAACCTTTCACAATTCTGATGGCCTAATCTATGTCAGTTATTTCTCTATAAACTCTCCTGCCTTGGAAGCTTCACAGACTAGAAACCACTTCTGCAGCGATGACTGGTTCTTTTGAACAGACTCAATTATCCTACTAAGGAAATCTATTCTACTTTCTGAACTGAACTAAGGGTTCTTCGAAACTAAAAGCTTGAATCTTTTGTTCTGAAATCAAAACAAAACTTATTATCTTAGTGTTATAATTCTCTCTGTCATTAACCCAACCATATAAATCCATTTTACCTCATTTGGTTTGAATGTTGGTTTGAAAAAAAATCTTAAAAGAGAGAGAGAGGTAGAGAAGTGGAGGGGTTTAGTGATGGGATCCTAAATTTAATGGAATAGGCAGCTGAAAGTATGACCACCAATGATGGAGCAATTACTAGCAAGAATGTGCAAAAGACCAAAAGTGGAGGAGTACAGACATCTTTAAGAATTGTAGGGTTGGAGGATCTGCAGATAGCGAGAGAGAGGGCAGAGAAGGATTTGAAAACAAGAGGATTTTAAAATTGAGGCTATTGAAGAATGAGGTGCTAAATGGTCTGCAAGCACAAAGGTAAAGATGAGCAAATAATATTTAGTATGAGTAAGGAACAGGCAACAGTGTTTTAAATTAGCATAAATTGAAAGATGGGAGATTGGTTGGGAGAACATCAGAAAAGTCAAGTCCAGTCATAAAAAATGTAGAGTTGAGGATTTCAGCAGCAAATACCATGATACAGGGCCAGAGCCAAGCAATAGTATTGAGATGGGGGAGTGTTGGTGCCAGTTTCATCTCAGGTCAAAAATAACATTGAGGTTATGAGCAGTCTTGCTCAGCATAACACAATCACTGTGTTGGACGCAGTAGACATAAAACTGACCTTATGGTGGACATCAAAAACAAATTTAAAAAGTAATTTCAACCGAGTGGCTGATTGGGGAAGATACCTAACTTATTGTGTGTTTCATTTGTGTGCTTTTGGGGGATAATTCTATGATCTGCTTCCAGTGTAGATGTACTCTTGGGATACTTTCCGAAATAGTGGGTGCCCAGACCATAATGTCCTTCTAGTTAATTTTAGTAGTCACTAATTAATTGGCTTGTGGTTAAAATCTCCTGAGATACAATCCTTGACTGAATTTAATCACAGAATCACTTCATTGATCTCAGGTGAAAGATTGCATATTTATTTTTAAAA